ACGTGATATATAAATATATATATATATATATATATATATATACATATACATATATATATATACATATATATACCTGTGTAAGAATATCATTTAAGTGTATTTCCTTTGTCTATTTATTTGCTGCACTGCCTCAGATATGCGCGGAGTTCGTCGGCCTGGACGTCAAAGAAGAGATGGAGACAACCAACAAAAACAAACTCTTACCCCCTCCTCTGCTGCCCTCTGTCTCTCCACTGCAGCAGCAGCAGCAACAGCAGCAGCAGCAACGGCAGCAGCAACAGCAGAAACAGCCGCAACAGCCGCAACAGCAGCAGCAGCTACTTCTCTCTGCGTTTCATCCTCGATGCAGCAACTCCAACGCTGTTGCTGCACGGCGAAGCACAGAGACGAACGAAGCAGCAGCAGACAGTCACAACAGCAGCAGTAGCAGCAGCAGGGGAGCCACAGAGCAGCATCAGCGCGCAGCAGCAGCACACAGCAGCAGCAGCAGCGACGCAGCAGCTGCTGCGCTGTCATGGCATCCCTTGCAGCCAACGGCGTCAGACATTGCTGCACCTTCAATTGGACAAGAGCCCTTTTATGAAGCTGCTGCAGCAAGCGACAGCAGCAGCAGCAACTGCAGCAGCAACAGCAGCAGCAGCAGCAGCAGCAGCTGCGACCCCGATGGCAAGTGGATGGAGGCCTTTGCATTCCCTCACCTGGAAGCAACAGCTTCAAAGTTAAAGAAGTCTTCTGCTTACTTCTCGCTGCAGCAAAACAGCAGCAGCAAATCTCCCTCTCACCTTTACCCGCAGCAGCAGCGCAGCAGCAACATCGCATGGACGCCTCAGCAGCAGCTCTCTGCCTCCGGGCCGCCGCACCCAGCAGCAGCAGCAGCAGCAACAGCAAAAGCAGCAGAACAACCAACAGCAACAGCAACGGAACAACCAACAGCAGCAGAACAGCCAACAAAAGCAGCAACAGCAGCACAAGCAGCAGCAGCAGCACAAGCAGCAGCAGCAGCACAAGCAGCAGCAGCAGCAGCACAAGCAGCAGCAGCAGCAGCAGTAGAGCGCAAGAGAGATAGGCGTTCTCCTGTCTTGATGACGGAGACGAAGACAGACGAAGCAATGAAGAAAATGTTGATGCTGCAGGCCTTACCAGGCTCATTGGCTGCATGCAGACAGCAGACAGAAGGAAGCAAAACTATAAAAAGACAAAAAACTGCTGTCGAAGACTTTCTCTGTACGCTCAATTTGTAATTAATTAAAATATAAACAACAAAAAAATATATGCAAATATTATGCACATCAAATACACCTCAATGTAGATAGTAATGCACGCCTATTAGCATTAACATAAACATAAACATAAACAAAACAAACAAACAAATAAATAAATAAATAAATAAATAAATAAATAAATAAATAAATAAATAAACACAGAAAGACAGCAAGAGAAAGACATAGAAATAGATGTGGAGGGGGTTAAGAGTAGACAAACATGCAGCAGAAAGTAATAAGAAAGTTTGATGTAAAGAGCAGCTTGTTTGTATTTATTTAAGCTGTATAAGAAGAAGAAAACAGCGTTTGAGGTGTACAGACAAACAAAAAAATAAAGGGGTTTGACTACATACGCGAATTTAGATAAATATATAATGTAAGACAATCTCTATGTTTATAACATATATATATATATTATATTTATATTATTATATATTATTATATATAATTATTAAGATATTGCACCTGTAGTATTAAATAAAATATATTAATTAATATTGATTATTATTATTAATTGCTTTGCCTCGGCAGTGCAGTAGAACGGCCAATGCCCGCCTCAAGATAGCAGAAAAAATGATAATAAAAATAAAATAATATTTATTATAAACAGCTTTCTACATTGAACTAATGCATTAAAATTAGTAATTAAAATATATTAACGATAAGAATAAGAATATTATAGTATATAATATTTTATTATGTGCGTCTAATATAGATATTAAAATACTCGCATATAAAACAGATTAAGATCAAATGCATAGTAAAAATACAAAGAATAATCTCCTTTAAAGTTTAATAATAATAATATAAATAATAATAATAATTAAACAATTATTAAATTTTTATTATTTTCTTTTATTGTCTCTCTTTAGTACAAACACCCGCAGACTCAGCAGACCCTATATATACCCTGCAGCTCTGTATAATTCAAAAGTAAAATAAGCGAATATTATCTAAATTAATATATCATATTAAACAAAAGTTTTAAATATTTATATATATATTTATATATATATGAATATTAAGAAAAACGAAAAGAAAAACAAAAAGAAAAACAAAAAACAGCGCCTGGGCGGCAGTTTGAAGGAAATTGACAGACAGACAGCTTAAAACTTTGAGTGTTTATCTTGAAAGTAATAATTATTTGTTTAAATATATTAAATTTATATTTAATTTAATTATATTCATACCTTTCAATATATATATATATATATACCTATTTATATGCGAACCTCTAA